AATCAATATTAGCCATCTGGAATTGAGCCTTGATATATAAACATTTGCAACATATGCAAAATAATTTGACCCTATTAAACTAAAAATTGTCTTCCCTGGCTCCCCTGACCTCAGGGATTACTCAGCTGCCTCTTCTGTCAGCATTTTTCTAGCCATCCTTCAGCTTTCTCTGATCGGCTTCTTCACCACTTGCCACTCCCTTAACCAGTAACTGCACTGCCATCTGACTTCCTCTGATAAAATAGTTCTCCACAATAGGAACCAGGATACTGAAATTACATTTTGAAGGTACAACCTTTAGGGCAACTACCTCATGTTTCCAGGTCTGTGATATCAGTCTCTGAACTTTTCTTTCAACCTGAAGGGAAGTAGAGACCTGATAGTGCTACAGTAGATGCTTAGCAAACATACAGACAGGCAATGAATAAATTCCTCACTTTCTCATATCCCATTATACTCACTGTACATCTGAGAGATTCCTTTTATATCATAGACAAATAACATCAATGGTCATAAAACGCTGGTCTCAACTAATGCTGGGGAGATATTTAGAGATCAGACGCACCCCCCCTACAAACAGCAACACTCTCCTATGTTCTGAATGGAAAATAACCAAATGCAGAACAGAATATGTAAGACCAAAAAGTCTAACATGTGAAGTTAAAAAAAAAAAAAAAAAAAAAAAAAAAAAAAAAAAAAAAAAAAAAAAGTCAAAACAGTGGGAATGGAAAAAAATGCTAAAACAAATTTCAGGCAAAAGAGAAAAGTTAAAGGACAAATGAAAGATAAATCAGACAAATGGAAATATTATCTGTTTCAGCCACCAGCATCCTTTTGTTAAATACGGGAGGAAGAGGCCTTTAGTTTTGTTGCCATGTGGAATTCTATTCCCAGTGTCCTATGCCTGCAGTAAACTGAAAACTACAAGTCGCTAGTGTCTATGATAAGAGTTTGGCAAAACTCTTCAACATAGAGGGAAGGCTGGTAACACAGAGGTTTAAAAGGAAAATTCCAGATCAAAGCTAAAACTTGGCCAAAACAATGAGAGTGTCTCCATTCCTAGACCTTTGAGAGATAGACCTCCCCTCCCATCCTAAACACCAAATTACTTCACAGCTTCTAAATGTACCAGCAACAGAGAACTTGGGAAAGCATGTTTTAAATCCAGATTTATAAAACAGTTCCACACATCTTGATACAACATTAGGATGCACTTGTAAATTAGGCTCATCTGCCTATGTTTATCAATTAGCAGGTAAGAAAACATAGTATGATTATTAACTTCCTAGTTATCAGAAGTCAGATATTTACCTTTAACTAAACTAAGACCTATTTCTTAGTTTTCATAGTGAAAATAATTATTTTCACTCAAACCTAAGGCAACTATTAAATAACACAAAAGAAACAGCTGAATTTTGTACAAAACATATTAGACACCAATTACCTTATATCCCAAGATAGTCTCAGTTCCACCTTAATGGCTTGCTCTGACTCTCCTTTATTTTAGCAATTTGAGAACTGAGCATTATTGCACTGTGGCCACTAAATGAGCATAAGCCACTTAAAAAAAAGGTTCATTGCTTCCCAATCCAAATGAAGTGAAGATCATCTAATTTAATGGTTTCTGAAGGGATTAAAGATGATTTTAGGTTGTAATAACATTTAAAATATTTTAAAATAACATTTTTTTTCTTTACAAACTTAAAAAAATATCCTGTATTGAAGGGGTAAATTATCTAATTTTTGGCCAGGATCTCTTACTTAAAAATATTAAAAATTATAAAATTTACATCAAAAATTCAGCTGAACATTACAGTTTGTATCCTTAACATGTTAACTTTTTAATCATGAAAACATAAAGCCTATTCAAAATGAACTAAAACCATGTTAGTGGAGTTCAGATAACTGATTATAATTTCAAGATACAAGTAGAGGTGGATGAAGTTGACCCTGACACTCGTTTAAGAAGTAGATTTTTGTGAATAAGGAAGGAAATGCTCAGATTTGAAAAGACTTTACTACAGATTTTACCACTCCATTTCAAATGAAACATTTTGTAGTGATTCTTCAAATGAAGATAAAAGGAAAATTTCAGGTACTTTAAATATGCTGTATATTACCCTGTTTCAAATATCATGAAAATGCCCAAGACAATATGTCTTTTAAAACAGAATCCAGGTCAGTTTGATGACTTAATGTGGGAAATATGCCAAATATATGAAGGTAAAAACATTTTTGCATTATTATTTGGACTTCTTTATTTTAGCCAAACACATCTGTCTCAAACCTTCATCTCTGTATAATTAGAAAATGTCATATTCCATAGTACAATTTGAAGACAGTGAACTGGCTAACACTTAACTTTAGCTAAAAAGCTGAGCAACATGACAGTCAAAGCAGGTAAGCAAAGGTCTATTGACCTTGGCAAAAACATGTAATTTTGTAACAAACTAATATCAGCCTTTTCAGTACTGCTGTAATAGATCTCTTAGTGCATTGAATTCAAAATACCCTTAATGTGAGGCACAATATTATCCTCTCATTTATGGTCCAAAACTGGGATATAAGAAAATACACAAGTTGCTCAAGGATGTGAAGGACTTAATTATACTTGTTTTGAGAGATACTCGAGGTTTTAAGAACCTGTCATCATAATACTAGACAACATTAAATACTAAGCAGCAGTTCCTTCCACATAGAAACATCCACCCATCCAAATGATGATTAGATTTTTGCCCATTTGGCTCAAGCGGTTAGCCATGATACTGGGCTTTGCAGAATGGCTTTCATTTGTAATACCAATTTCTTATACGTCAGATACGTTCTGCTGTATTTTTGTTCGCACACAAAAAACATATATGTGCTAGCTCCCTGAATACAATAACACAGAAGATCCTAAATATGACTATACAATAGAAGTCACAATCTGTATTTTAATGAGAAATAAATAAAGAATAAAAAATAAAAATTGTTTGGCTGGATCAAAAGTTTTTTGGTTACTATCCCTCTCCCATCTCCTCTGGCCCCCAAATGGAGGCCAATTCAATGAAGAAGGGGTGGGGTTTTTTTGGAAAAAAAGTAAATACAAAACAAAAGTTCAAGCATGTCAATACTTTCTAATATTTTTGTTCTTGTTTATTTGTCTGTTTTTCCTCAGTTTGTCTACATTACAAAATGTAACATAGATACCCCTTAACACTACCAAACATTGACTACTGCATCTGTAACAACCTGATGTTTAGCTTCCACCACTCCAGAAGAGTTACAAGGCAGCTGAGTTGTTCACTGAGGATTACGATGAGCTGCAGAACCAGAGCTGCAGAAGCTAAAGCAGCTAACCAAACAAATACATACCTAAGCAGCATTTGTGTGGGTCTGCAAATAAAAGCACTGAACTTTGTGCTGGGAATCTATCTTAATTATCTTTGTCAGGCTTCTTGAGTGGGAGGAGGACAAATGAAGTACTTTGCTCACTTTTATAAATGTCATTGGTTAGTCACAGTTTCTTAAGATATGAACCGCATGATCTGAGAAACTAAAAAAAATCATGTATTCCTCAATTCTTACAGTGAGTAACAGACTAATTCAAAAGCCACTGAAGTTAGGAAAAAGTCTACAGAGGTATTAGCTCAAGCCCAGATGCTTTCTTAAGGCATGAATTATGTTTATAACGATTCATGTCAATTTTTATGGACGTAAACTTCCCACAAGAACAGAAAACATCTACCATTGGACCACACAGAAAGATCATGGTTGAAAATACTTTTGAAAAATTTCCACAGATGAAATTTTAATCAGTTTGCCTCTCAGAAAGAAACCACACTAAATGTCTTTTGTAAGAAAACAAAACCCGTCTGCATCACTGTTCATAAAAAATTTAAGCATGTAGCATTTACAGTCTATTCATTATTGACTTCAGTGTCTTTGACTAATTAAGCCAATGAAATAGCAGCTTGCTGATGTCTTTGAACATTTGAGGATTTGTATATCATAAAAAGAAATCTGAAATATATGAAATATTAAACTTGTTCTGAAATCTTCAACAAAATCTTCCTTGTCTGGTTCAGTTTAGAACGGCCACAAAACTTCATCTTATGCTTAAAGAATCATGAAAAAAGGATCATGGTCAGCTTAGTGCTTTGAACAGAGAAATATCAGTCTCAGCAAAAGCAGCAATGAAAAAATACTGAGATTTAACTTTAAGTCTTTCCAGTCCCTCAATTATGTCAGCTTAAACCAGAATTCTTTTTTTCATGTTTAGCAAATACAAGATCATTGCTAGTACCTACAAAAATAAGATCTTTTACCTGTGAATTTGATATCAAAGATTCAGCTGCGTAGCAAATGCTATGCAGAGAAAAAGCCTCGGAGATGCTAGGAACTCCAGCACATGAGACAGCAAATTATGGATCTGAACAAGAATTGTTTTCCCCATTTCATGAAAACTGCCTAAATTAATACATTCCCAAGTCCTTCTGAGAAAAATCAACACCTTTCAATAATTTTTGTTTGCAAAAGAAAGCAAGAAATAAGCTACTCCAGTTTAAAAAGTACAACAGGGATTAAACAGACATGTGTTTAAGTCCTTCTTGCAAATCAGGTAAAGCAGAAACATGAATGTCAGTCATTCATGTAATCATATCACTATGGTATTCGCTAGTTCATTTTGGACTCCTGTCTTGGTCCTGTCTTTTGGACCCTGTCTTGGTCTCATTCTTCCTGCTTGGCTTGCTATTTTACAACAAGTATATATAGGCCAAAATATTCCTGAAAAATGCTTTGGTGGCATGAATCAAAAATAAGTCTACTTAATCAGTTAAAAGAAAACAGGAAAATCATATGCTAATAATAGGAATTATGCAGAATCTTGTTTTAGAACAGGCACTAGATCTCACAGTGTCAGTAGACTTCCTTTTCATGATGAAAGCTGGCAAGATTTATTTTGCCTGAGCATATGCTTGCAGCTCAATTGTATAGGAAGTGAAGGATCAGCATATTACCATGAAACCATTGAGCAATCCTGTTGGTGTTCCTCTCAAACCCAGCACGTCGAGGAATTTGCTCTTCTTTGAACCAGCGAATTATGACATTTCGGGAAAAGGGTCTAGAAGGACGCTCCCAGATGTTACTGCATTGAAAGGCAAATAATTACAGAAGAGTCACACAGAGAATCAGCAGTGTATGAAAACAAGAGAAAATATAAATATTAGTCTCTTTTTTATATAATTACAAAACCATACAGCTACAAAATGGTCAGGAAAAGTGCTGTTCAGTACAGTTTACTGAACAATTTTAAATTTTTAAAATTTGTAAAGTATTTTGAGTTTTTATGGAAACCAGAATATTTTGATTTTACATTTGTAATGGAACCTCAAACATTTTCTTAAGCACAGCACTTAAACTGAAAAACATTTTGCCATGAAAGTTGCAATGGACATTTCAGCCAGCTTTCCGTTTCCACCTCATTTTTATTCCAATGTACATATTGACAAGCAAAGTTTTTGGTTTGGTTTTTTTTTTGCTGAGAGTTTATTCCTTTTCACTGGCAAGAAATTCTAAATCAGAATCAGCTATAATAGGCTGTGTATCCAAAGCACTGATCATGATAGAGGGAATGTTTTATTTAAATTCTTACATTCCATTTGCATTCCCTACCCACTGTTTCTACTACTTTCTATGTATTTTAGATTATTTTGGCTAGCAGGAGGCAAATCAGGTAAAATATGTGGGAAATGCATCCAGCTACTCCCCAAGTAAGGACTAGGGTATATTCTATTGAGTGAAAGTATGACTGCATTCCAATTAAGCATACAATCTCATTTATGCTGATAGCAGTAGAAAAAGGGAGGTTTTACAATGGATTTCTGCATAGTTTTAAATCCCATGGGTTTCTGGGTACTCAAATTGTTAGCACAAATTACCAGATCTTCATCATTGTTCTTCTTTAGATAGACAGGATGAAGGATAGTGTGGGTATGTCTACTTGTACTGTAATTTCACTTTCATTTGGTGAGACACATAATTCACAGTGCACAGTCCAGTAGCTGGCTATATGCTTCTAGTTTTCCTATTCCAACTGCCATGGAGCTGCCAGTTAATACTGTGTTTTTCTAGACAATGTAACGGAGAACTATTACTAAAATTAGAATGTCAGCTCAGAAGTCATAAAACAGTGTTAATCTAATTTGCAAGATAATCAAGAACCCTCAAAACAAATCAGAGTTCTGCAATTCATGACAGCAAGGTGCTCTTTAGAAAAATAATAAAAGCAAAAATATAGATGCTCCCTGCTTGATGATATGCAACTGAGTCCTTCTCTCAGCTTCTCTTACTGTTGCTAAAACTAGTGATTGATTCTGTTGATATCAAGTGATGAAGCCCACAGTGACTGTAACAGTTATTGATAAATAACAAAAACACCTGTGAGTAGATCCGGCTGATATTCATAATAAAATTTGAAGATACAACCATGAGTGAAGGAAGACAGTGAGAATTCAGTTATAGACACACATTAAAAATACCAAACTACATACGTGTTTCTTATTTCTGTTTTTGAATATTTTCTATAAAGAAACAATAAACCTTTTAAATTACATGGCCCTACAATCCCTTCTGTTTTCTTAACTCATTTCTCTGTAGTTCAGTTTAGTTTTGAAAAAACAAAACAATACTGGTTGGTCTTGTTCAGTAAGAGCAAGAAGAAAGAAATACAACCTCAAAAGTAAAACACAGTAGGCAAAAGAATAAAAGTAAGCAGGCCAAAAGGTTTCATCAGGAAGAGAACACTCAGCAGAATATGAAAGATGGCAGGAAAAAAATCAAATGAAATCTTTCTAAATTATATAGAAATTATAAGAAAGATCTCAACAAAAATAATATTATTTTCATGTGACTTTTAAAAGACAAGGCAAGGCAAGGCAAGAACTATTGGAGCTATGCTTGATGCTGAAAAACTCAAACATAACACTGCACCCACATTCCCTTGAGGCAAAAATATCTGTCTCACAGTGGTGGTAAATAACAACATACTGTGTATCTTCTCCTTGACATCCCACGTCACTGGCAAAATAACATTTTAGATATACATCTGCTTTACCATACCAGTGTTAGGTGTGAGAAGTTGTATTGTTGTGTTGGTTTAGGACCTGCCAGGACCAGAGACCACGTTGCCATTGCAACGTGGATATCGCTTCCCCCTCTCTGCTGGGGAAACTTAACCCTATCCTAGCTGAATCAGGACATAATCCATCCCTTTATTCTATACCATCTGCGTCATGCCCGGCTGCCATTTAGCAGTTAACAATAACAAAATAACAATTTACAAAGGCACAGCAAAATTCACGGCATGTTCTCACTCAGAATCAAGTCCCCCTGTGGTACACATTGGACCTCTCCATTGTCAGCATCACCGACCAGGTATACCCAGGTCCTTGAACAACAGCAATCCCGTGGATGGGTTTGCCTTTGCCTTTGCCGGGCACAGGACTAAACCAGACCATTTTTCCCAATATATTCTTCAAGTGCACCATAGAGAGTTTATCCCCATCTAGGTTTCGACTGAGTTGGGCCAGCTCGCCTAGCAGATCCTCTTGTGATGACTATCCAGGTAGCCTTTGCTAGATGCATAACCCAGTCTTTAAAGGTCCCACCTCCCAGTGCTTTCAAATTGGTTTTTAATGTTCCATTGTAATGCTCAATTTTCCCAAAGGCTGGTGCATGGTAGGGGATATGGTAGACCCACTGGATGCCGTGTTCTTCTGCCCAGACATTTATGAGGTTGTTTTGGGAGTGGGTCCCGTTGTCTTACTCAGTTCTCTCTGGGATGCTGTGTCAAAACAGGACTTGGGTTTCAAGGCCCTGGATGGTATTTTGGGCAGTGGCGTGGGGTGCTGGGTAAGCTTCCAGTCATCCAGTGGTTACTTCCACCATTGAGAGCAAGTGGCGCTTCCTGTGGTGGGTCTGTGGCAGAGTGATGTAGTCAATCTGCCAGGCCTCTCCATATCTATATTTCAGCCATCACTCTCCATTTCACTGGGGCTTCACCCGCTTGGCATGTTTGATTGCAGCACATGTCTCACATTCGTGGATGACCTCTGCAATGGTGTCAATAGTGAGGTCCACCCCTCGATCTCGAGCCCACCCGTATGTTGCATCTCTACCTTGGTGGCCCAAGGTCTCATGGGCCCACCGAGCTATGAACAGTTCACCTTTGCACTGCCAGTCGAAGTCCACCTGAGCCACTCTGATCTTAGCAGCTCGGTCCGCCGCTGGTTTTGTCAATGTTCATCAGTGGCCAGACTCTTGGGTACATGGGTATCCACATGGCACAACTTCACGAGATTTTCCACATGGGCTGCAATGTCCTGCCATCCTTCAGCAGCCCAGATGGTTTTACCCTTACATTGCCAGTTGTTCTTCCATTGCAATAACAATTTCCACAGGGTATTCGCCATTGCCCATGAATCAGTGTAGAGATAGAGCCTCGGCCACTTTTCCTGCTCAGCAATATCCAAGGCAAGCTGGACCTCTTTCACCTCTGCAAACTGGCTCGATTTACCCTGTCCCTCAGCAGCTTCAGTGACCTGTCGTGTGGGACTCAATACAGCAGCCTTCCATCTGCAGCGGGTGGAGGAAGCAAGCAGCCGATTCAATGTGAATGATAGAGCAAGCTTCAACCTTACTGAAAGAAATGACACCTTATATAAGCACTCTACAATAATCATGCATACTACTCACAAATCTATTGGATACATGTAAAAGGCTACATTATACTATCCCAGCCCTTTGTGGCATTTCAGGTATGTCACAACACCTTCATTCTTCTGGCCTGCTTTCTTTCCCAAGGATGTTCCTTTATCATACACAAGGTCATAATGTACCTCAGTTTCTCTTTTTGTTAACATAACAGTTCTTTGTTAGCATAACTGTACCCTGGGTTTTTTCCTTTGTTTACCTCAGATGGCTGCAATCAGCTTCTGCAGAGACCCATGGCCTTGCTCTCTACAAGCCGTTCCCCAACATCCATCGTCGATGTTTTCCCACAGTGGGACAAGACCCATCAGTGAACAGGGCATATCGCTTCCCCTCATCCGGCAGCTCATTATATGGTGGAGTCTCCTTAGCACGTGTCACCTCCTGTTCTGGTGAAATCCCAGAATCTATGCTCTCTGGCCAGTTAGTGATTACCTCTAATATCCCTGGGAACTGGGGTTCCCTATTTGAGCCTGTTGTGTTGTCAACGCAACCCATTTACTCCACATGGCACCTGTTGCATGATGTGTGGAGGAGGCCTTTCCTTTGAAGAGCCACCCCAACACAGGCAGTCAGGGTGCCAGGAGGAGCTGTGTTTCATTGCCAACCACTTCTGAGGCAGCCCGAACTCCTTTGTATGCTGCCAGTATCTCCTTTCAGGTGGTGCATAATTAGCTTCAGAGCATTTGTATCCCTGGCTCCAAAAGCCTACAGGTCGGCCTCGGGTTTCCCAGGTGCTCTCTGACAGAGGCTCCAGGTAGGGCCATTCTCCTCGGCTGTGGTGTAGAGCATGTTCTGCCCTTCCCAGATTGGACCGAGGCCTACTGCCTGGGCAATCTCCCACTTAATTTGTTCAAAGGAGTGTTGTTCCTCAGGGCCCCATTCAAAATCGTACTTCTTAAAAGATACACGGTAGAGAGGGCTCACAATCAGGCTGTAGTCCTGGATGTGCATCCTCCAGAACCCCAGAGTGCACAGGAAAGACTGAGTCTCCTTTTTAGAGATTGGTGGGGCCATGGCTGTTATCTTGTTTATTACCTCCATTGGGATTTGGCGACACCCATCTTGCCATTTTATTCCTAGGAATTGAATTTCCCTTGCAGGCCCCTTAACTTTATTTTGCTTAATGACAAAGCAGGCCTTCAGGAGTATTTCAGTTATCTTCTTCCCTTTCTCAAAGACATTCTCGGCTGTGCCCCCCCATACAATGACGTCATCAATGTACTGCAGGTGTTCTGGAACCCCACCTTTCTCCAGTGCAGTATGGACAAGTCCATGGCAAATGGTGGAGCTGTGGTTCCACCCCTGAGGCAATCACTTCCAGGTGTACTGGATGCCTTCCAAGTGCAAGCAAACTGTGGCCTGCACTCTGGCGGTATCAGAATGGGGAAGAACGCGTTTGCAATGTCAGTCGTGGTATACCACTTGGCCGACTTCTACTCCAGTTCATACTGGAGCTCAAGCATGTCCAGCACTGCAGCACTCATTGCTGGCATAACTTCATTCAGGCCACGGTAGTCCACAGTTAGCCTCCATTTACCTTTAGGTTTTCTCACTGGCCATAGACGGCTGTTGAAGGGTGAGTGAGTTTTGCTGATCATCTTCTGGCTTTCTAATTGACGGATCAACTGATGGATGGGGACCACGGAGTCTTGATTGGTGTATTATTGCCACCGTCTTGGTAGCAAGCAGCACTCGTTGCATCTCAACCTTAAGCACCACTCTGAGAGGCCCAGTAAGGTGGACAACTCTTCAACCTCCTACAGGGCAGATACACTAAAAGCTCACCAGTACCCATTTGGGTCTTTGAAGTACCCTCTCCTGACATAGTCTATGCACAGGATGCACAGGGCATCTGGGCCAGTCACAATGGGGTGCTTATGCCAGTCCTTCCCAGTCAAGATCACTTCAGCTTCTAATAGGGTCAGCTGCTGGGATCCCCCTGTCACTCCGGAGATGCAAATGGATTCAACCCCACTGTAGCTCGATGGCATCAGGGTGCACTGTGTGCCAGTGTCCACCAAACCTTTACCCTTTTGTGGGTCTCATGTGCCCGGCCATCGGATCCACACTGTCCAGTAAATCCGATTTTCCCTTTCCTCCACCTGGCTGGAGGCAGGGCCCCTCTAATCCTGCTCAGCATCACTCACTTCTTGTAAGAATGATTCACTGGTCCACTCAAGAGGGTCAGACATTATGCTGACCATTCTATTTTGTCTGGTGTATTTCTGACTGGACACTGGAGCTGCACTTTTCTTGGAGGACTCCCCTTTTGTGATAGTCTTCCCTTTCAGCCTCTCTACTCGTGCAGCTAGTGCGGCAGTGGGCTGTCCATCCCACTTCCTCATGTTTTCCCCATGGTCGTGGAGGAAATACCACAGGGTGACTAGTGGTGTGTACCTTCTGCTGCCTTTGTCTTGGGTGGGGAAACTTTTACTTCCAGTGGCTGAGACATCATCCCGTGCAAGTGGAGTGTAGGACATGTTCTCTTCCATTTTCTGGACCCTCTGAGACAGTTCCTCCATAGATGAGACCCATGAATGTGGAGATGGAGGGATATTTCCATCATATTGCCGGAGCTTGCCAACCACTCCATCCACTATTAGAGTGTGGGTGTCTGTCCACCAGGACACTATTGCCAATGCTTCTGAGTGTGCTTCTGGTGCACTCTTCAGAAACTTTCGCGACATCAGGTGTGTGCAAGGGGACTCATCTGGGTCCATGGATGACTGCTCATCATTCAGATCATCATAGATCATCTCAAACACAGCCAGTTCCCTGAGATTCTGAATGCCCTTCTCAGTGTTGGTCCATTTGCTTAGCTGACATAGGATATCATCCTTGTAGGGGTACCTCTCCCTTACACTAAGCAGGAGTCGCCTCCAAAGACTGAGGGTTTGAGTCTGTTTCCCTATTGCCTTATCAATGCCAGCATCCTTGGCCAAAGATCCCAGCTGCTTGGCCTCTCTCCCCTCCATTTCAAAAGTACTACCTCCATTGTGCCAGCATCAGAGCAGCCAGGTGCAAATCTGCTCTCCTCCCAGGCGGACAAAATCTCTCCACGTATCTCGCAGCTCAGTTGGGGATAGAGATCAGATGATCACCTCTGGCCCTTCCTCCTGTTCCCTTGATGGGCCTGGCTCATCCCCATCCCCCACTTTGCGAGCTGACTTTCTGGTATATTTGGTTTTCTGTATCAGGGTGACTGATACCGGCACTGGCTGGCTCTCTAGCTCAGTTGCTGTGCTGGTGGATGCGAGTGATGCTGGCTCTGTCTTTTCCCCAGGCCCAGATACTGTACCAGTAAGTTCATTCTCAGATCCTGCAGCCCTTTCTCCCCCTTGAGAGCAGTGGGTGATATTAAAAAGGACACTGTAGGCATGGGCAAGTCCCCAACACTTTGCAGCGAGTTGTCTCTCCTGGGTTTTGGCAGATTGGTAACACACCCTTTCTAAGCACTCCATCAGCTTTTCAGAGGTCTGCATTTCCTTTGGGTGTGAAATTCCAAAACATTGGAGGTGCTACCGACTCAGGCCTTTGTCCATCTTTTCCCACGCCCCTTGCCACTCACTAATATCTGACCTCGGGGCAGGTTTCCAGGCACTGATATTCTTAGTGAAGTGCCGCATGGCCAAAACCAAAATCAGGCAGACATTCAGAAGGCATTGTGCCACGATCACACTGGCTCCAAGGCTCCAAGGATAATTGAAACTCCCCAAAGTCGAGAGGATCTCTTCCCCTGGCTCACCCATAGACGGGGTGAGATCCCTAACAAAACCTCAGGTAGCAAAGAGGTACTTGCCCGCCCCTCCACACAGTGATACAAAGGCATTATAAGCAGTCTATAGCCCATATAACAACATAAGACCCTTTATATATTTTCCACCAATAACGCCAGCACTGGGATCATACACTGGATATGAGGATAAATCCAGCCCCACCAGACAAGCAAGTGTGCCAGCATTGCAAACATTTTCTTATCAAACAAATACAAATACAAACAGAGAAATTACACTCAACAGATTGCTGTATCACACTCTGGTCAGGGTCTGTCCCTTTTTTTCTTATTTCAGCCCTCTTGTGCCCCACGTTGGTGTGCCAATTAAGGCTGTGGTGGTTTAAGCCCTGCCGTGACCAGAGACCACGTTGCTGTGACCCCTCCCCCACCGTCAGCTGGTCAGGCTGGATTTGAGGCACAAACCCCGGGTTGAAATAAGAAGAAATTTAATACAAGAGTGTGATAAAAAATCTGAACAACAGTAGCAATGATAACAACAATAAAGAGCAATAACAGTAAACAAGACAAAAGATATAAAGAGAAATACAGCAGTGGATACAGACAGCCCCGTTGCTTCCCCTCACCAATGCCACAAAGGAAAGAGTTCCCGTGCTCCCGCACAGGACCTGATGTCATCATGGTATGAATAACCCGGCTGGAGATCACTTCCCCCTCTCTGCTGGGGAAACTTAACCCTGTTCTAGCTGAACCAGGACAATTATATACATTTATGTACATTTATTATTAAAGTACATGTTTAAAGCAACTTTTATTTGTCTTGATATCTTCACAATATCTTCACATGGACAGACGTGTTGGTTTAGGCCCTGCCGGGACCAGAGACCACTTTGCTATTGTCCCTCCCCCACCCTTGGACATAAGTAGGGCACAAACCCCGGGTTAAAATAAGAAGATATTTAATACAATAGTGTGATAAACAATCTGAACAACAACAGTAGCAATGAATAACAACAGTAAACAGTAATAACAGTGAACAAGAAAAAAGATATACAGAGAAATACCACAATGGTTACAGACAGCTCACTCGAGATGCTCCCGCCACCAAAGCCACAAAGGAAAATATTCCCACTCTCCCATGCCCGGACCTGACATCAGCGTGATATGAATAACCTGCCTGGAGATCCCTTCCCCCTCTCTGCTGGGGAAAACTTAACCCTATCCTAGCTGAACTAGGACAACAGACAAAGAGGAGCCTCAGGAGATAAGAAAAATAAATACTGCCTGCTTTTTGTAATATAGGCATAGCTTAGAATCAGACAAATAGTGCTGAACATGAGCTGGATAACGATCACAATATTTTTCAGATCTTTTTTCAGGTCCTTTTTGAAAGGGATCATGCCTAGCACCACCAACTTCTATAGTAAATAACCTCACTTCAGAAGCTCAGAACCTGAGGTTAAAGACACAGACCATCTTTTTCAAAACCTGCCACTTTTACTAGTGTTTTTATTACTTCAGTTAGAAGAAGACTTTAAGTAGTTTGGAAAATAATGAGAGAATTCCTTTGACAAGTTGATTTGATGGTAACTTTAAAGATCCTGCTATCTCTGAGAGTGAAATTCTGATTCCTCCTGAAACTGGGAGTTTTGGCTCCCACAGAAACTGGAGGATTTCTGTGTCTCAATGCAGTAGAGCAAAGACCTTGTCAAATCAGAATATATTTCCAAACAATGAAGAACTGATTCTCTCTGCTACTATACTGACAAGTAAAGAAAAACAATGTAATGGGACTCTCCTTTCTGAGCCTGAATATTGTTTATTGCGATTTTTTTTTCAGCTTTTAATGCTAACATCCTGACTGTGCTCAAATTGCCTTTATTGCCACATGAAGCCAAATTAATGGTATAAGAAATAATGAGGAGAAGAGTGATTAGTCAGCTTGTTAGCACTCATCTGCCAGTTTGGATTCTTTCCTCTTCTGCAATTCATGGTGCTTCCTAAATAGTCAGATGAATAAACACCAAAGACACTTGATTTTGCCTGAAAATACCTTAAACCCTCTGAAATTTAGGAGTAGGACAGCTCTCTGTAAAATATTTTAAAGAGCTGTAAAGCAGCAGGCAGTTTTAGGCTTGAGGCTTAAGAACTGCCTAAGAATTCGTTCATTTGACTTCTCCATATCACAGTCTTGCATACTAATCTAATACTGACTTTTGAAGGACTCATATCTCTCTCTCTGAACTCTAAGAAACCTGTCTAAAAAATAAATGGCATTTAGTTTACATTAAGTATTCAATTTGTTTTCATTTTTCTTTAAACATTCTTTGTCTGGTCATATTGAAAGAGCAAGACTAATTACCAGCAACTGAAGAAGAACTTGTTAAAATGGTGAGGACTGCAGAAGGAGCACTTCAACAGAAAACTATTTCAAAGTCACTCCAGTACAAACCAACCTGGATGCTGCAGAGAGGGACAGCAAAGGACTTCCACTATTGTTCAGTTTTATTTCCTGATCATTATTCAGGCTTGTCCCCTGGAACAAATTACTCAGGCCAGCCACTCTTCCCTTCTGGATGGCACGCAAGGATTGTCGTCGGTATTCATCCCGGGCTCTGCGCGCTTTGTGGCTTCTTTCCTCATCTGCAGCTTTGGACCGGCGCACTGGGTAGAATGAATAAGAAGGATGGGGAAGACAGATTTTAGAAATACAGCCATTTATCCCTTTCCTTATACAACAACTTACTATCTGTATTCCTTATATAACCTGATTTTACAAACGTATCAATGTGTCAGGATTACTGTGGCCAGCAGGGACAGGGAAGTGATCTTGCCCTTGTACTTGGCGCTGGTGAGGCTGCACCTTGATGAATTTGTTCAATTTTGGGCCCCTCACTACAAAAAGGACATAGAGATACTTGAACATGTCCAGAGAAGGGCTACAAAGCTGGTCAAGGGTCTGGAACACATGTCCTATGAGGAGCGGCTGAGGGAACTGGGATTGTTAAGTCTGGAGAAAAGGAGGCTGAGGGGAGACCTTATCACCCTTTACAACTACCTGAAAGGAAGCTGCAGAGAGCTGGGTTTGAGCCTCTTTAGCCTAGTAGAAAGGGACAGGACAAGAAGGAATGGCCTCAAGTTGCGCCAGGGAAAGTTCAGACTTGATATTAGGAAGCATTTCTTTACAGAACGGGTTGTTAGGCATTGGAATTGGCTGCCCAGGGAGGTGGTGGAGTCCCCATCCCTGGAGGTGTTTAAGAGTAGGGTTGATTTGGAGCTTAAGGATATGCTGTAGGTAGGAACTGTGCTAGGAGAACGGTTGGACTAGATGATGTCCAGGGTCCTTTCCAACCTAGATGATTCTGTGATTCTGTGAATTACAATGCACTATCAAAGAGATGGCTAACTGGATGACTTTCCTGATGCTTCAAATACAGGCCCACCACTAGATGAAGCATGCCAGACTTGAGCTATCTATGAACTGATCACTGTCAATAACTGAGCCTCTACATACTGTGATTACATCTGACACTTGATTTGGCTGTAATAAGAGAAATTCTGCTTCAAGACATCTTCTGTTGTCAGTGCACCAAGTGTTCTGTTTCAAGACAGAACATTAACTATTGCTTAAAATTCAGTCTGTTTAACAGAATTCTTTGCAACTATACACATAACTAGAACTGGAAAAGCTACTTCCAAAACTTACAATTATAAAAACTAACATACAGGTAACAGGTTTTGTTGTTAATGTTGCTTTTTTTCTGAAAAGTAGATGTTATCTTTGTTACGGTACTTAAAGTCACAGAATTCTTAATCTTGAAAACTGCAGTCTAAAAATGGTTTCAGTAACAATGGAGAAATTAATGGTGAATGGCATTAGAAACAGCATGCTGATGCTATGGATTGGGTTGTCTCACACTCGAGTCTCTGAAATTGCATATGAAGAACTGGAATCAGTACTGGAAGATTTAATATACATATTAAAATTTGTTACATATTCCCGTATCCTGAGATGAGACTGCTGCTCTGTTCATTGCAGGTCAGGTATCTTTCACTAAAGTTTCTTCATTTTAAAACTACTGTACTAACAATCCTGTCTTCAAAATGGTATAATTTAAATGCACCAAGAATTGCACTGCAAATATTCATCATCTATCAGCTCTTTTTCTGGTGCCTCAAGCCCTATTTTGATAATTTTTTTGAGACACAAACAACTTGAGGCAGGCAAATTATTCCAGTGAAAAACAAACCTTTAACATCCAGTGAAGAAACTATTAAGGAAGGAAGCTATTGCCTCCAGCAGCAATTATCAGTCCTGCCCTGACTATCTTGGCTTAGATCATACCCAATTCATAAAGTGCACAGAACTATTTCTTACTCTACTGTGATCATACCTGCGACTAGGAATGCATGATATAATATCAGACAGCTGCCTTTCATTAGGTTGCTTGCACACCTCTGGTTTACACTACTGATTTAAAGCAAGCAGAAATATTTGTCCAAATTATTAAAAGGTTTAGTGGAATCAAGAAATAAAAACACTCAAAGCAAAATGAAATGAAATAAAACTCTCTGGGAAAATGAGGGAATGAGAAAAGACCTTTAAGTTTAGAGTTATATAATATTATCATAGGTAGAAAAGATAACAGCACTAAAAGCTCATCAGTAACATTAATGAACAAGTTATAAGTGCTTCATATGTACACAATCGGCAGGATTTCAGTTTCATTTAAGCACATACCTTGTAGTTTCAGCTAAATACAGTAAAAAACAACTGTAGAGCACAGGTTTCATTATTTATCTTACATTTATCTTAATTTTTAAGGGTAGATAATGTCATCTAAATATACTACTTCAATGGGTCAAGTATATTAGTTACAAAATTTCTGTGATTTATCATTTGTAAAGCCACTCAGTAATGGCTGCTTTAAATGTGGATTTGTGTTTGCAACAACACAAGCGACAGTAAGGAAGACGAGTGCAATGCAGCTTGGTAAGACATTTAGAAACTAGTCATTGTCACAATCTCAGTATACATATTGAGGACAGACTGTCTGGAGTTTTCTGGGATGTTTTTCTACCTATGTACAGATTGCCTTGTAATGAAAAAGGCAAAGTATCTTCACGACACATTTTCCTCAGCCATAGATACTCTTTTCAACAGATATTCGTACTGTATTTTTGCTAGCCAATAAATATATACCATCAGAAGCCTGTGACCTGGACCACATTTTCCCAGCCTGTATCAAAATGCAATCTTTCTTATCACAAAACAATGGGGAGAGGTAGCACAGTTTGCAACTGTCAAATATTAACATTCAGAAAATTTTTATATATGTCAGGATAGGGAGGGCTGTAGGCCATACATATCTAAATGCATGCATACAGATTATACATATACATATACATATACATATACATATACATATACATATACATATACATATACATATACATATACATATACATATACATATACATATAACATATACATATACATATACATATACATATACATATACATATACATATACAGGCATTTCTTTCATGTTATGAAGAACTTTTATTTAACTTTCCCAACTGAGGTATATGAAAAATTATACCATTGACCGTAGGGATGCATAGGGTCTCTTAATCCATTCTTTTTTTCCATTACTGGAGTCCTGATTTTCTCCTTATCTCATTCCTTGTAGTTATTCCCAGAAACCTCTCCCTCTTTACTCACATTCCTCTATCTCTAGGAGTTATCTAGTACAAGCTCCTCCTGTGGATCTGTGTTGCTATGTTATCCCAAGTTTCTTTTAAAACTCTCTGACTGGTCAAAGGACTTTGTATCTGGTAAATAATCAGAGTCACTGGCATCAATAACTAGGTTTTGTGACTGGAAAGAGTACTGTAGATAAAGATTAATCCACCCATTGCAGTCACAAATTTACAAAAGTTTTCCATTACACTCCAGACAAGATGATGTGTGTCACATGAACTGTCCTCCATTACTGACACCTCCCACCAATGAATCTAACTTGAATCATGGAAAGTCAAATCTGGTCATAATAGCAGGCTTTTCTTACAATGGAATTTAATTAATATTCATATTTCTCTCTGACGCTGAACCATCTCACTAGAAATCAGAACATTATATCTGGATCAAGTGTAGCACAAATATTCAAAGAAGCCACTGCATTCTGCATTACTTGTATTTCAGGACACATTATACCTTTCTCAGAATAAGAAAGCAAAAGTGGTCAGGACTTCTAGTACTATGGTAAATTGGAAGAGATTACTTTTCTTGACTAGCTGTCCTTTTACAGTAAATGTACTTCTGACATGACCCCTGCGCAAAGCATCAAATTCAATAGTCAATATTTTCAGTAGGGAGTCTAAATATTCGAACGATGTCTTCCATCTGTAAAATCTTTGAATTATCACCATGGGTCCATATATCTACTGTTGAGAATTACTACAAATAATAATTGACATTTTCTTCATATTCATTTTACATTCATGAATAATGTCAGGACTGATGTGACGGTTTAAGCTCTGCCAGGACTGGAGAGCACGTTGCTGTTGCCCCTCCCCCACCCTCAGCCAGTCAGGCTGGAAGTGAGGCACAAACCCCAGGTGGAAATAAGAAGAAATTTAATACAACAGTGTGATAAAAAATCTGATCAACAACAGTGGCAATGATAACAACAATAAACAGCAATAACAGTAAGCAAGAGAAACGATATACAGAGAAATATTACAAATAGTCATGGAACAGCTCACTGCCACCAAGACTACCAAGGAAATAGTTCCCGCACAGCACCTGACATCAGCATGGGATGAATAACCTGGCTGGAGATCCCTTCCCCCTCTCTCTCTGCTGGGGAAACTTAACCCTATCCTAGCTGAACCAGGACATAATCCACCCCTTTATTCTATACCATCTGCATCATGCCCGGCTGCCAATTAGCAGTTAACAATAACAAAATAATAATTTAGAAAGGCACAGCATAGTTCACGGCATGTTCTCAGCCAGAACCAAGTCCCCCTGTGGTACGCATCGGACCTCTCCATTGTCCTGCAACACCCACCAGGTGCACCCAGGTCCTTGAGCAAAAGCAATCCTGTGGATGGGTTTGCCTTTACCTTTGCCTGGCACAGGACTGAACCAGACCATTTTCCCAAAGATATTCCTCATGCACACCACAGGGACTTTATCCCCATCTACAGCACATAGAGGTTTTGGATGAGCCGGGCCAGATCGGCTAGCAGATCGTCTTGTGTTGACTAGCCAGGTGGCATTTGCTAGATGCACGTCTCAGTCTTTGAAGGTCCTACCAACCAATGTGGTTTTTAACAGTCCGTTGTATTGCTCGATTTTCCCAGAGTCTGGTGCGTTGTAGGGGATATGGTAGACCCATTCAATGATGTGTTCTTCTGCCCAGGCATTTATGAGGTTGTTTCGGAAGTGGGTCCTGTTGACTGATTCAATTCTCTCTGGGGTGATGTGTCGACACAGGTGTTTTGCGGAGAAATCACTCTATAACTTTTGGGGTTATAAAGTGGGTATGTTTATTTAGCGCTGGGCGCATGGGGGATTGCTTCACCACAAGCATGCGTATCGTTTGCAGCTCTCGTCCGGCTTATATGTTACAAAATAGTGCATATTCATAAAACGT